CTTGGCCGGTAGCATGTGCTCAGTTTAGCTCCTGTTGCTGCTGTTAATATTGTGATTTACAAAAGAAATTCCTACACAGTAGTAAAGTCATCGATCTTAAAAACTGAATGTGGAGAAGGCTGTCTTTGGGTCAGTGGAACAGAGATGGATGAATAAGCCAAGAAAAAGAAAACGAAGGGGAAGTCCTCTGCCCAGACTCTGATACCACTATCATCAGAGATTGCACCATCCACAAATCATGTGCTGGGAGAATCCTGGGACAGGAAAAATTCCTTAATAGAGCTACCAGGAGAACATCATAGCCTGGAAAAGCAAGCTCAAAGCACAGGCCATCGAAAGCATCCTGTGGCAACCCAATACTTAAGAATGATTGGAAACTCCTGATACCTTCTAGCAGCTGACTCTCACTGCTGGTTACCCGTGCCTGGTTTCCACCTCTGTATCGCCCTCCTGCTTCACAAGTGTCTTTGGTCTTTGATAAAAGTGCTCTATCTAGTTGAAGTTTTAGGGCTCTGTGCTGAGAATTAACTAGAAGAAATTTCCATATGCTGCCTCTTAGATCTCTTTAGCTTTAGCACTTCTTTCTGGCACTGTCAACCAGTCTCACTGCATGCTGACTATTCTCATTCTTCTCCTCCTGTTCCAACTGCCAGGATATTTAAGAACATTCATTCTTTTAAAGGCTCTCTTATATGTAATAATGATGTTAATTCAGTCATGAGCTCATAAAAGAACAGCGTTTAGTCAGGCTAATAAACAGGAAATTCTTTACTTTGGCATTCATGTGTCCAATACATAAAGGAGAATTTTTTCTCAAAGGAAACTAACAATTGCATTTCGAAAGACAAAAAAGAAGTGTATGTGGCAACTAAATTATAATGTACTTTAAAAAGTAGAACATCAGCAACAAAAATAAAAGAAGGAAAATTTAAGAATTTAATCGTCCGTCATTACTATCATATTTCTCACTTTACCCAACCCTCTCTCTGATGAACATTTCACCCGGTATCTGTTGAATCCTGAGATCTAACAACATTCACCAAACTTTGAGTCCATTTGAAGTACAGTGTATCATGACCAAAAGATTATGTGTCATGAAACTGAATCAAGTGATATTTGGGGGGTTACTAATGACAAATATCATCAAGCAGGGCACTGTTCATTGACAGTTCTCTTAGCTCCTGGACTAGTGAATTGCATCCGTCCGACACTGATTCATGTCTATTATAACAACTTAGAGCAATGGTAGGGGCATTGGTGATTCATCACTCGCCTTCCATGCAGGAGACCCAGGTTCCATTCCCAGCCAATACACTTCATGCATGGCCACACCCATCTGTGGGTAGAGGCATGTGTGCTGGTACAATGCTGAACAGAGTTTTCATACAACCATCTGTGGGTAGAGGCGTGTGTGCTGGTACAATGCTGAACAGGGTTTTCACTGGAACTCCCAGATTAAGCCAGGCTAAAAAGGAGGGCCTAGGTGATCTACTTCCAAAAATCAACCAATGAAAACCTTTTGTATCACAATGGTCTAATCCATAACTGATCATGGCAATGACACAACAGCATTTGGTTCCATTGTGCACAGGGTCACCATGAGTCCAGGAGCTGACTGAATGACAGCTAATAACAACAGAGCAATGATTACCTATACTTTTTCTGTTCAGGTATGTGTGCTCTTAAAACGAAATGGATCGATAATTAACTGATTCACTGCAAATGTTAGGACAGAGAAAAGAAAACAACACTGCATTCAACATTGAGCAGGACTTGGCATGTAACCATTGCTTTAGCAAACCCCAGCTGTATAAACTCATGAATAGCTTCTCAGGTCTATCTGACAAATACCAAACGGGCAAGTTTTAGTTTGAAGACAGTGTTCACTGTTATGTTTTTCTTTTATGAACACGTAGAATCTTTGAGAATTTAATATCAAAAGTTTTAAATTGATTCTTATGAGAAATAGAAGGATGGATTATGATGGGAGGGTGGTGGGATTCAGCAAACGAAACTCACCTATAGATGATTCCTTTCTCGTGTAGGAACATGAGCGCCGAAATGATTTCTGCAGCATAGAAACGAGCTCGAGCTTCATCAAAGCGGCGAGACTTCTGGATGTGGAACATCAGGTCGCCCCCATTCACAAACTCCATCACAAAAAACAGACGATCCTGGACACAAGCACAAGACAGAATCCAGTGCGACGTAGCATCAACTTAGAGTTCAACCACAATTGTATTATCTTGGGGCGGAGTGTGGGGAAAGGAGGCTGCCAAAAAACTGCTCCTCAATGAACATGCTGATAGCAAATCAGAAAGGAGCATGATGGGTCTTGGGGGGATTAGGTCTCTTAAGTGTGGGTAACACCTGGATTTCCTTTAAGTAATTCCACACAGCCTTGAATTTCTACATTAAACAAAAAGTAGAGAAAACTTTGGAATCCTCTGGCTCCAGCTGGACCTCTGCACCTTAAAGGTCATGTAATCTTGAGTTTCCTGGGTGGTGAAAATGGTTCACACACTTGGCTACTAACCAAAAAATTGGAGGTTTGAGAGGCACCCAGAGATGCCTTGGAGGAAAGGTCTGGCGATCTTCTGAAAGATCAGCCACTGGCAACCCTGGGAAGCAGACAGAGTTCTTCTAGTCTGCTACCCTTGGCAACCCTGAGAAGCAGAGTTCTAGTCTGCCACACAAGACGTCGCAGTAAGTTGGAGGTCACCTTGAGCAGAATTTAATCTTGACCTTAACTTGGACAGTCATCATCAGTGAAGTGTGAATGCTGATACTGTCCCTACCCAAATTCTGGGACCAACAGATGAAAGACAAGATGAGGTACGTGAAAGTATTTTATCAACTCTAAGAGAGCAACACAAAAGAGAAGGGAAATGGCTTTCATCTGGAACACATGGGGTTAATCACAGAAAGTAATGGGTGTCTAATAGGTGCTTCAACCCTCACAAGAGGATACAGGGCAAATATAGAAAAAGGAAAACTCCTTAGACAAAGCAACCAAAAAAAGTCTGATGAAGACCTCAGAGTAGCTTCAAAATTAGCAACTACACCCAGCCCATCAAAAGATTCCTGAGCACACCAGTCAGGAGTGGTAACCAACAGGAGAGAGATGTGGTTTCAACCTAGCAGGTGAATCGGACCGAACCAAACCAAACCCATTGCCATTGAGTCAATTCAGACTCATAGTGACCCCCACTGAATTTCCAAGGCAGTATATCTTTACAGGGGAGCTCTGGTAGCGTAGTGTCTAAGGCACTTGACTGCTAACCAGAAAGCTGGTGATTCAAACCCACCAGCCACTCCTCGGAAGGAAGATGGGGCAATCTACTTCCGTAGTGATACTGCCTCGGAAACCCAAGGAGTCATCGATGGCACATAACAACAACAAATCTTTAAAGAAGTAGATTGCCCCATCTTCCTTCTATGGAGTAGCTGGTAAGTTTGAACTGTGAACCTTCTGCTGAGGAATTAAATGCCCTAGGCGCTGAGCCACTAGAGCTCCTAGCAGGTGAAGTACCCTTCAAAAAGCCATCTTCACAGTGTGATAAGTTGTATGCAAGTTGTGCAAATAAGGTACTGTGGAAATTAAGACTGCTTACTGAAAGAAATGCGTCTCAATTAAAAAGTGCTATTGTTGAAATGTACAGGGTAAAACGCCTTGTTTTGGAAACCTCTAAGATCAATGGATTTCCTCACTCCCTCCCACAAACACCTCGGAAGTCTCTGGATCATCAGATGCTGAATTAGGTGCTGGGGACTCAACAGAGATAAAAGACAGAAAACAGACACAGCCTCTACCCATATGGAGTCTTGCTGGGAAACACATTATCAAAAACAAACAAAGTGAAATAAATAAGCACATTTACAAATGCTGGTAAATCCTGTGTGGAGAACGTAGAGAAAGCAATGACATCTGGTTACCTGCTGCTGAGGGGTGAGGGGAGGTCTCTCTGAGCAAGTGGCACTCGAGCTGAGGCCTGCAGCATGAATGCAATCCATTCAGGGCCTGGTTATCCCTTTTTGCTTTTTTTTGAGGGAAGAGGGGTGGAGGTATTATTGTGAGGAAACTAGTATTTTACCAAAGTATGTGCATACACAGAAACTGGCTTTAAATGTGGTTTAAAATGCCACCAACTTTGCTGGGAATGTTGCCACACCTTCAGAGCTGAACAATGGACGGTGGACAGTGATTGCATCACTGGTTTCACTGAGCAGATCCCTACAGAAGACAGTAAAACGTACAACTGACTACTCCCTATTTTAAGTAATACTGTAATTAGAAAAGAAAAAAATCCCTGTATCTACTAAATATCTCTTTCCACTAATGAGAAGCAAGAATTTAACAACAGGGAGTGAATAACAAGAGTCATAAACACACACACACACAAAAAAAAAACCTCTTGACGTTGGCCAATATAAGCCATTGGAGAGGGGGAAAAAAAAAAATATATATATATATGTTATATATTGTTAAGCACTTGCCTTGCTGACTGCTGCAAGGTCAGCAGTTCAAACCCATTAGTCACTCTGCAGGATAAAGATGTGGCAGCCTGCTTCTGTAAAGATTACAACCTTGGAAAACCTATGGGGCAGTTCTACTGCCCTATACGGTTGCTAAGAGTTGGAATCAACTATATGGCAATGAGTATAGCAAGATGTGTGCGTAAGCTAGCCAGTAAACCCACTGCCATTGAGCCTACCCCAATCCTGGGAACAGCAAGTGTGTCAGAATAGAACTGTGCTCCACAGGGTTTTCGAGGGCTGATTCTTCAGAAGTGGATTGCCAGGCCTTTCTTCGGAGGCATCTCTGGGTGGACCTGGACCTTGGTTAGCAGGCATGCACATTCACCATGTACACCAGTCAGGGACTCCTAGTAACTTAATTTGAGTCTGACTGAACAGGGGAGAGGAGGATTGGGTGGGAGGAGTTTCATGAGCACCAGCTACTCCACATTTTCCACCTGGGAAGGACTCAGGTGGGGCATTCAAGTTAACAGTGGGGGAGGGGTGGATAAGTGCATGTTGAAGCTTCTACACAAGAAGCATGGGGTTTAGCCTGATGCTGTGTTCATTTGGAGGGATGACCATGGGGTGCTTGATGAAGAGAAGAGTGGGAGAGCCAGCCCAAACCATCCCTGGCTAACATATCAGTTCTTATTATATTTTTTTAAAACCAGACTGTTCATCTTCTTCATGGATGTGACTGGCAGTAACATGAGTTCCAACTGCTCCAAATACCTGATTACTGCAACTGGGTCAGTAGGTGAGTGCTATTCCTTAAGTGGTTGTAAGTCAGTGTTCCTGGCAAGAGTTTCTAAGGCAACAGACATCAAGAAGATAAGGGAAACTTCACCCATTTGTAGTTCACAAAGACATCATTCTCAGACCAAACCCTGGGCTTAACTCCTGAACAGGTGGGGAGAAAATACTGCGCTGTGGTCTTGTTCCTTCTCCTCTTTCTCTACCCCAAACCCCCCCCCCCCAATAATGTACAGGGCCACAAACATGTGCACCTCGGTTCACAGCAAGGGGATCATAAGCTTCAGGACTGTGAAGACACAGGCCCCTCGCTACCTGCATAGCAAGCAGGAAGGAGGACAAGCAGTCGAGATACCCTGGGGTTTTAATGAAAAGTACTGGTGCATCTTATCAAAGAGCTATGTCACAATGCAGAAAAATCACTGTATGTTTACTGACAAGAAAATGTTTTTTCTGTGAGGAAACCCCTTGCTATACATACGTCTATTCACCTCATTCTAAAGATGTCTGCTGTAGAGGTGGGCAAGACTTGGCAGAAGTTTCTCCAAGATTTCTTCTGCGGAGGAGGAGAGGAATGGTAAAAATATGCAGTGGTCAGCCAAGAAGATCCACTCCTCATTAGGTGCGGGGGGAGGGGGAAGTGAGGAGCCATCATGTGTAATAAAATGTTATTAAGTGTGTCTTCAAGGTGATGCTGCCAACAAGTGCAATGAACAGTAGTGCCGCCACATTGATGCTGCTGCCTCTGATGAGGATATTCTCAGGTACAAAAGATTCGAAGAATCATTCAGTGATTCACTGAAATCCTTAACTAGGCTTACACAGATTTTTTTTTTTTTGAGATTTTCTCTGAGAATTAGGATTCTATTTAAGAAACATTATTTCCTTGACTACTTTTGAGATCATGGATTTAAGTTTTTGTATTTTCCCCATATGTTACCATGTGATGCCATTGTAATTTTTATGAGAAACTTAAATAATTTGAGTTTAAAAATTTCCAAGGGTGAATGTGCAGAATGATTTTAGTTATAGCCAAAGATGCAGAGGTACACAGAAAGGATAAACTGCACCAAAATGGTGGCAGTGTCAGCTTTCAGTTGTGGGATTTGGGATGACGTTCATTTTTTTAATAGTTTTTCTTCTCTCTCAAGGTTTCTATGATGAGTATATATTACTTTTATAATTACAAATAAAGTGAAGACGTGTTTTCTCTATAGTTTTCCAACATTCATCTGGAAGATGGAATACTGAAAAAAACAGTTCTAAGGCTGTCTTTGTTGTTGTGTGTTGCCGTCGCGTTGGCTCTGATTCACGGCGACATTATGGATAACAGAAGGACGCGTTGCCCGATCCCATGCCATCTTCACGATTGTTGGTGTGTTTGAGTCCATTGTTGTGGCTTGGTGTAGTGCCTTCCAACGTAGGGGGCTCATCTTCCAGCACTATGGCAGACACTGTTCTGTTGTGGTCCATAAGGTTTTCATCAGCTGATTTCTGGAAGTGGATTGCCAGGTTTTTCTTCCTAGTCTTAGTCTGGAAGCTCTGCTGAAACTCATCCACCATGAGGAAGCCTGATGGTATCTGAAATATTGGTGGCATAGCTTCCAGCATCAAAGCAACATGCAAGTCACCACAGTAAGACAGCAACCAGGCCATCAAGCTTCTTGGAATTATATACAAAATGAAAAACAATCTGGTTTAGGCCCCAGGGCCTCCCCTGTGAGTATACAGCCAGAGTTCCAGTGTACAGGCTTTCAAGCATGTACAGTGGTGTTCAGAGATCTTTTATGCTTCCTTTCAGGTTCTCAATGAGAATGAATTTTACTGAGCAATACTACATGTCAGGCTCTGGGAAGGAACTAATTATCCAAAAACGAATGGGACCCTGCCCTTGCTCTCG